CATGTTATGGGTATGCTTGTAATTGTTAAGGACTGGGGAGATTTTCAGGATAAATTAGAAACCGAATGGAGATAAGCACAGGCAAAATCCTAAAGGAAAACCAGGTTCAGTCTGCTTTCTACGAGACACTGGGAGATGAATTCACCTTTCAGTAGGACAATAACAAGGCCAAATCTACACTGGAGTTTCTTACCAAGAAGACAGTGAATGTTCCTGAGTGGCCGAGTTACAGTTTTGACTTAAATCTGCTTCAAAATCTATGGCAAGACCTGAAAATGGTTGTCTAGCAATGATCAATAAACAATCTGACAGAGATTTAATAATAGACAGATGTTGCACAATCCAAGTGTGGAAAGCTCTTAGAGACGTACCCAGAAAGACTCACAGCTGTAATTGCTGCCAAAGGTGATTCTAACATGTATTGACTCAGGGTGATGAATAATTATCTAATCAAGATATATTAGTGTTTCATTTTTCATAAATGTTTTACAAATGGTAAAAATCTTCTTCCATTTTGACATTAGAGTATTTTGTGTAGATCGTTGACAAAAAAAATGACAATTAAATCCATTTTAATCCCACTGGGTTCTATCCCTACCCCAGAGTGTAATTGGTATTTTAGAAAAAAACTGCTAACAAAAGCTAACCCAGTCACATAAAACTCTGAAATGACAGCTAATATTCCCTTATCAATTATTTCAGCTGTTTTGCATTGACATTTATAACCATATTAATGATAGCTACATGATTTCGCATGGTCCGACACCGTTAGCTCTCTATGGCAGGGGGAAGATCGATTTCATATTTTGAAACATTGTTGCCGAGTTCTGAGTGGCAAACAGCAAGGTTCATACAAACCTGTGCTGTTGCAAACTAAATGCTAGTTAGAAGCAAGAGGAAATAATGTGTTTAATGAAAGCATACAGTCTTAGATTAAAAAAGGGGTTCTATATAGAACCTTTTGGTCAATAAAAAATGTAACTGCCATTCTGATTCAAAAACCAACTGCCATTCCAGCATGACCACGCAAGAGGATGGTGATTGAAATAACTTGCACCTTGCACGTAACCTACCAATAAGCACGTTATTTTTCAATGTATTATGGTAAGCAAAGTTGATTATTTAATTCAAACAGTGGATGCTCCTCAGAGGAGGACCCTCCTCCTCTGTGAATTTCATAAATATTTAAATTGTAAAACATTAAAAAAGTTATACTTTTTAGATAAAACTACACTAAATATAATCAAATGTCATCAAATAACTGATTAAAACACACTATTTTGCAAAGGAGGTATACAGTAGCCTCAACAGCGCTCTGTAGGGTAGCACCATGTGTAGCCGGAGGACAGCTAGCTTCCGTCCTCGTCTGGGTACATTGACTTCAATACAAAACCTAGGAGGCTCATGGTTCTCACCCACTTCCATAGACTTACACAGTAATTATGACAATTTCCGGAGGACGTCCTCCAGCCTATCAGAGCTCTTGCAGCATGAATTGACATGTTGTCCACCCAATCAAAGGATCAGAGAATTAATCTAGTACTGAAAGCATAAGCTACAGCTAGCTAGCACTGCAGTGTCTCAAATGTGGTGAGTAGTTGACTCAAAGAGAGAGATAGACAATAGTTGAACAGTTTTTAACAAATTAATTTATTCCAAAATGAAGGAGAAGCAAGAGAGAAATAGAGAGAGTGATTGTCATTTTTTTTCTCACTTTCAGTTTCACTTAGCTAGCAAATGCAGCTATCTAGTTTAGCCTACTGAAACACCCTGCTCAAACAAAGGGATGCTATGTTTGCTAGCTGGCTATGACTTTTCAACACAACACTTGAACTGGAACTCTTCCAAGTCAAGGTAAGCTTTTGGTATTACTAATTTATTGCCACCGGGGCCCGCTGGTATAACTGCCAACACTAACATTACTGCATGTAGCCACACCCGTCGCTATGGCCCGCCCCCAAAAATGCTTGTGCCCCCCACTTGAGGGAATTTATTATTAAATATACGTACTGTAGGCTAATAATAATTGTGCCCTGCCCTCCCATGCATTTCATATGCCACCCTTAAGACTGAGGTCTGGCGACAGGTCTGCATGTAGCTGGTTTACTAACTCGTTAGTTCTATTAGCTATGCTGACTATGACGTTACTTTAGCTAATATGGTGACAACGATATAGGCTGTGTGTAGCGGTTTGGCTTGGAAAGGTTTTTTCGACTGGTCACATACAGCTGATGTGTTGTGCATTTAAGTCCACAAGCAAAGGGAATAGAAGGAATACAACGTGGCTGTTTACGTGTGATCAGCCGATTCTGTTGAAAAACGTTTCTTAAACGGAAGCAAATGGAACAAAACGGGGTTAAACATAGCTGCATTTGTCCAATAGAAACTCTCGTTTGCAACTGTTGGACTAATGATTACACTATATATAAGTTAGATGCAGGCAAGAGTGTGCAAGGCAATGTCACTGTCTGTCACCTCAAATGTATCTCTCGACCTGTGTGCACCTACGTTGTAAACTTCCATTCATAGGCTAGGTTGTAGCAACCTTATGATGGGTATAGAGAACATTCTAGTATCATGTAGTAGCCTAAACCTATCGCTGTTACATTGAACTGGGTGAATGGAATATGAATGACAGTCATCCAACATGCTATAATAGAAATAAGGCCATGCTCATGAAAAAACATTGTTGTCCCTCATCTTCAACGGCACTGACCGCCACTGAATTGAAATATATGAAGCCAAAGTCATATGATAAATTAGAGGTTAGATAAATAAAGTTTAAAGAATTTGAGCATGTTTGTAACCTAGCTAGCTAACTTAGCTAACTAAACAGAAAAAGCTAAGCTACCTGAATTCGCCACTTTACAAGCTTGCCAGCTAACTCTTTCAAAAAAACATGTTTTATTATGTGATATGCCAAATAGAGCTACAGACCCAGGCTGACATTGGCAATTAGCAAATTGTTAAATTTTATTTCAGTGTGGAGTCAATTGAGGAGACTATGTTTCATGAAGCCATTAGAATACTTTTGCTGACAGGGGAGGTCTGTATAAATTATTTATAATAAGTCTTGGTGATTTAATAGCCTAGTTAATCATTACATGACTTTTAAACACACTGTCTACGTTTTGCTCAGTCTGGCAGTAACCCAGAACTAACAGAGCCAGAGGATCTCTCTTTTGGCTGCTGCTGACAACAACTGCATGTAAGTTGTTCTTCTACATCATAGTAATTATATGTCTGCATAGCATTTTGTTTTCATTGTGGCAGAATAACTAATGCTTAGTTCTGAAGATTATCTCATGTTTTTTCTCCTTTTTTCTTCTTCTCTGGAACCAGTCAGGCAACAACCCATACTGTACTGACTGTAGATAGCCCAGTTGCTAAGGAGTTGGACCTGTGGCAGGAGTTTTACCTGTGGACGAAAGGTGGCCATTTGGATAAAACGGGCAAAATGTATCTGATAACTAGAGGGCTGCTGGGTTCACATCCTCAAAACATTCCCCTACCATTGGGCCCTTGAGTAAGGCCCTTAACCCCACAAAATGCTCTCCATCCAGGTGCGCTGCACTGCAGCTTGAACCTGTGACCGTCTCAACTGTGTATGTGAGGCCTGCTGATTGGGGGGGTTGAGAACTGAGAAGAAGACACATTTTTGTTGTTCACTGTAAGTAATGGACAAAGTTGTACTGTATTGTAAAGAAGTCAGCCTGTGATGCGTGTGATAGAAGGAGTCAGGTGCAGGAGAGTAATACGCATCCAAAGAGTTTATTCCGTCGATAAACAGTTGCGCAAGCATGCGACAACAAAACTCAGGCACAGGGGAAATATCTACCCTGGCAACAACAAGGTAAGGGTAGCTCAACCGAGCTACACACAGCTCACTACAAACAATCACCCACACAGACAAGGAAGCAGAGGGAACACTTATACAATGACTAATTGGGGATAAGGACCAGGTGTGTGTGATTAATAGACAAGACAAGTGGAGTGATGATAAATGGATAGGCAGCAGCTAGTAAGCCGGTGACGACGAACGCCGAAACCTGCCCGAACAAGGAGGGGAGGCAGCCTCGGCGGAAGTCGTGACACAGCCAGAGTTGACATGGACCATCATTCAAACAGATGCCTCCCTGGCCACCAGTGCATATTTCCAATCTGTTTGCATTTAATGGCAATACATTCTAAAAAACGATGCTGGTATTCTTTTGTCCATTATTTAATTGTTTATTAAATGCCATTCTTAGCAAAAAATATTACTATTTAATAGTAGTAGCCATCATTTATAAATGGCACCATGCAGGGTTCTATATGGAACCATTTTGGTTCGGTGAAGAAGAACCTCTAAGGTTCTGATCAATATAGAACTTTTAGTGGTTCCATATATGAAGCAAGTGATAGAACCCTTTTTGGTTCTATAAGGAACCTTTTTTTTCTAAGAGTGCATGCTAGTTGATGCATCTTTATATCTCCCCTTAATTTCTAACAGATATTTTAATCTCTGTCACATGAAACCGCTTGTGCGTGCGGTGCGCTTTTGAGAACAGTGTTTTCCCGCTAATTGCATTTTGGAACATTCACGAATAGCTTACAGCCATGTGCGCATCGTTGAGCTTATAATATGAAGAAATAAAACGTTATTTTGGATATATGAATTTTGGATCTGTCGTCCCAGATCTGTCCCAGAGTCTGTTTTGAACAGTAGACATATACAAAAGTACAAAAGTATTTAGTTGTAATTGTAATGTTGCAATATTTTATAGGCTACCAAGGGTGGCCAGCCATCCTCCAGCAGAGCCTTAAAGGGGCAGTGTTGTATTTTGAGACAGGCTTGAATATGCAAAAGAAGCCAATAGGCAGAGTATAGCCTACAATTTTGTCTGATTCTCTAGGTAAAAAAGATAGTAATGCATTTTATTTTGTAAAGTGGTTCCTTGCATCATACAATGATGAATGATGACTTGAGCTTTTGGACAAATAAAAAAAAAAAGTGAAAGTCAAGCCCTGCATACTGTACGGTTGTTAACAACAAAGCTCACCTCATTATCGGATTCTACGAGCACCTGGTCATACTCGCTGAGTGCCACCAGAAACATGATGGATGTGACGTTCTCAAAGCAGTGGATCCACTTCCTCCTCTCTGACCTCTGACCTCCCACATCCACCATCCTGTCATTGGAATAGAGTAACAACATCAAGCACAGATGAGTAGAGTACAACTACAGTTGGCATTGGAATATAGTGTAGGTCTTATTCGTGTTTGCTAGATGATCATTGTTTCATTTAAAATGTGGCATTTTGGTGTAAAAAAACTGCTAGCATTTTTATAGCAAAAAGACATGCTTGAGACTCATTTTAAAGCAACTGTACACGAGAGGATGTGTTAAACTACTTTTTTATCACAGCTGTGCTGCGGTCGTAGGTACTTTTGAAAAGTGTATTTAAGTGTCACTCCACAATGATACAATAATAGAAAATACAGATTTTTTTTTAACCACATTGTGGACCACTCAAATTGCTTTTTGAGCTACTAAGAAACAAACATAGTCAAACATGGTACAGGCGTCATCAAAAAACAAAATACCATCCATATTATTTACATGATTGTTACCTGATAAATTTCACACAATTTATCATTTTTATCCACCGTTAAAATAATTATTTGGTCTGGACAGGTCACGAAAAAGATCACCCCTAACGTTGTTGTATAACCCACAGTAAAGCAAGGCATGAGCTACTGTTTCAATGGAACCATTGTTACACATGTTTATCTAAGAATGAGCTATAGTGAACTTGCAAGCCTGTACTGTAGATACCCTAAGAATATAACATCAATTGATAGAGCGCCACCCTCTGGTGTGTTCTCCCCACTACATCAGTATGGAAGTTGAAGGCTACATATAAGCAGTGCCTAGTGTGAAAACAGAGACAAACCTCACTCTCAGTGTGTCAGTTATAGAATAGAATAGAATAGCTCAGTGAGATTGAGGGTTGGCATACCTGAAGATGACACTCTGGAGGTCGAAGGGGTACTCGATGATGCCTGTAGTGGGGACCCTAACCCTCAGCACATCCTGCTGAGTGGGCAGGTAAGAGGTCTCTGCGATCCGGTCCAGCGCATTCATGTAACTATGGAGACAAAAAAAAGATTGTGTATATTGTGAGTGCCCACTGCCTAGGAGGAGGGGAAATGTGATGTAGTAGTAGTAGAGTTAGATCTCATTTACTCACTATTTGGTAGAGTCCGATAGCTGGTACTCCCGTCTCCTGTCGTAAGCCTCCTGGATGCCCGGGTCATTCCATAAACATTTGATGGCGTCTATGTAGGGGTTCACAAACGTGTTGACTTTCTCCACGTCCACCTCTCGTACCACGTTAGCGTTGCCCTGAGGGAGGGAAGAAAAAACAGATTGAGACACTCCTCCAGGTCAGACTTTTAGTTGACAGAAACAAATATATAAATTCAATGGCATCAATTCAAGGTTCTGTGAGTCTGAAATGGGACTAAAGCATAACCCAGGCACAGGCAGGCAATCCTGTCGGTGAGTATGGCCACGTTCCGTATGAAAAATGTATGCACTCGCTAACTGTAAGTCGCTCTGGATAAGAGCATCTGCTAAATTAATAAAATGTAAATGTAAAATGTTCTGGGTGGTCTATTTTACAGTCGTAATGCGCAGATGATCAGATCTCACGACACTTGGATAGGTGTTTAATTAACGTCACAGGAAGCAATTTAATATGATATAGTAATATTCTGAGATGCACAGCGAATGCAACTGCAAAAAAAGAACACAGCCTATTTTTTTCACTATATGCCGCTCCACAGAGGACTCTAAGGGCCTAATATGAAGTTATCACATAGCCCACCTAGCTCAACTCCAGCAGTATTTAGTTATACTGTTATTTAGAAAATGTTAAATGATGGATTTTGAATGCCCCACAAGTCACATGACTGGCTTCACTTCATTATCTGGCCTCAACTCATTACTTATCTCTACAGTAGCCTGTACACCAAAACCCCAAAAGGTAGTGATTGTTTTTGCCTGGTGACAACCTGGGAATGACATGCTACTGCCCCCTGTTGAATGTATCCAATCATTAAGCCAACATAACACACCAGGAAAATACAACAGGCTTCATATACAATACAGGCCACTTAAAACTTGTGATGACTATACGAACACTAAAGAACAACATATTTACAAAGTAACATACATAAGGGAACAACCCTATCCTCTAATAACAACCTGAGACTGCATGGTCAGATGTCACACGAGGCCTAGTGATTCATATAAGACATGGCCAGTCAATAACTGATAGGTCTCAGTACCTCGATTGGACAGTCATGTGGAATTACCTGCAGTTCTAGACTTTACTTTTGAGACCTCTTTTTTCTCTGTAACCAAAATAATAGGCAGAATTAGACTAAGGATAAGGGGCACCAGTCTTAACCAAAGAAGAGGAATTCATATGAGCAGTTTCAGTCTACGCAGACAACTGAAACCGAGAAATATGACCTCAGTACACCAGATGACTATTTTTCTCTCTCTCACACACACACACACACACAAACAGGCAGGATGACATGGATGGGGTTGAGAGTGACAGGAAGACACAGGAAGTACCAAAACAGACAGGATGTGATTGTGGAAGGCTGTTCCATGACTATGAATGATAGTGAGCATAAGAAGGAGATGACTCTAACACATCTCTCTCTCGCACATGCACTCACACAGGTTTCGTTCCCACTCTTTCCCACAACTTCAGTTCTTTCCCTCTCCCTCCTTACCTTGTTGTGCTCATATTTGTAAGGGATCATGAGGGTCTCTGTGGCGCGGATCATAGACTGCATGGCAGTGAAGATGTTCTGGTACACCAGCTTGGTGAAGCCACGCTTGTCCTCCTCTGAGTAGCCTGTGCCATGGATGATTCTCATCTGTTTAATGAAGGTGCTCTTCCCACTCTCTCCAGTACCTGGGAAAGGGGGAGATGGGTGAGAGGTGAGGAGGGGGAAGGAAGGAATACGTGGGTCATTGAAGAATTCTGAGGCATTATATCCCGATACTGAGTTTTTAATATATATTTTTTGAAATATGTGTGAAAAATTGAAAATTGGCCAAAGAATATATATACAAATAAATAAATGTATTCAATACATTTTAAATACATTCCAACATATATTACATAATGTATTTAAAATGTATATATAAATATATGTAAAATGTATATCACAATATATGTTAAATGCATCAGAACATTTATTTAATGTATTTCAAAATACATTCTGAAATATATGTATTCATCAATATATTAGGTAAATACATTTTTAAATGTATTTGGTAATGTTTTGTGAAATATTCGAAAATGCATTTACATTTATTTGTAAGAAATATATATTTTAATTAAAATGTATGGCAAAATTTAAATATTTTGTCAAAATGCATTTTTATTGTACCTAACACGTGCCAAAGGCACTAAAATGCATTTAAATTACTACAAAAATGACTACAAACATGATACATTATCGGTCAAGTAGTGAGTCCATGTTTTTGTGTAAACAAACTTGACGAGAGCATTGCAACCAATGTCCAACGGGCAGAATTTAACGTGTACTGGGTCGTTCCACAAAATGATTGCCTTTTGCGTCCGTTTGATATGTTAAGTAGAAGTTGTGCACCAATATTACATTTTAAAAGCCTGTTATATTAAAGGAAGTGCCCTTTAATATAGACCACATGGAGAATTCAATAAATCTGATTTTGAATCTGAATAAAGACTTGCTCTATGTGATATAATGTATTTCCCTCTGTGCACCCTCTGTGACTTTAACCCACTAACTCCCAAATGTCTCCAAGTTTTCACTATCATTGTAAAGCCCTAGTTATTCCGTTGCTTCGACAAAGTTAATTCTGAAGATTATAACATCTAATAGTCAAATCATAGTGTTAAAGGTGCGCTATGCAGAAATCACTCTGCCATTTCCTGGTTGGTAAAATTGTAATATTTAGCCTAATTTCAGTTTATGTGACAAAATTGACATTTTAATCATTTAGCAGACGCTCTTATCCAGAGCGACTTACAGGAGCAATTAGGGTTAAGTGCCTTGCTCAAGGGCACATCGACAGATTTTTCACCTAGTCGGCTCGGGGATTAGAACCAGCGACCTTTCGGTTACTGGCACAACACTAACACTAAGCTACGTGCCGCCCCAAAACAAGCGTAGAGAATCATTGTACCATCTAAACCGCTGTGAAATCTCTTTTCAATAACCAAAAAAAAAGATTTAAATAAAAATAAAAATATATTTTTAAAAGCTGTTTGAAGCTGGTGTACAAAACTGAAAGTAAAAGACACAAAAACAAAACTTTAGAACGGGAAGTATAGAAATAGTGCACATAACAGTTATAGATCTGTCATTCTTATTGAAAGCAAGTATAAGAAGCGGTAGATCTGTTCTATGTGCGCTATTTCTATGCTTCCCGTTCGTAAGTTTCGTTTTTGCATTTCTGCATAACCAGTTCCCATGCTTTTAAAATAACGGTTCTGTTCCGGAACAGTATAGATCACTTTCGTTCCCGGTTCTGATTCCGCTCCTCGAAAATTTTTGTTATTTTCTGGTTTTCGGTTCTGTTCCCTGAACCTCTTTCAACCCCTGTGTAGAATACAGTGGACTGGACCATATTTGTGTGAGACTTACTTAATTTGTACAGCACAGGCTCAAATACATCTGAAAAATCCGTTTTTTTCTATAATTTTTTTTAGCATCAAATAAAAAATATATAAATTATTAATGTCAATGAATAAGGCGTTTTACCCTTTGAATCCCCTCCATTTGTTTTCAAACAGAGGGTTCATTTAGTCTTATACTGTTCAAATGCATTATGAAGTTATGAGTAGCCTAATTGTAAAAAATTATCTAAATGCTCCAATTCTGTTTTAGAAGTTCCATGATATTCACTGTGGTGTTGGCCCCCTGTGTCGGACACAGACAAACAATAAAGCAATTGATCCAGGACGACGTGGAGCTTTGTTTGGTTTAGCCTGTGTCAAAATCAGACAAACACTCGCATATTTATTGAAAATCTACTTATTGGAGAAAGTTTTCTGAATCCCCCTGCTAAAGATGAAGCGAACGATTCATTATATATACAAAAGTATGTGGACACCCCTTCAAATTAGTGGATTCTGCTATTTCAGCCACACCCGTTGCTGACAGGTGTATAAAATCGAGCACACAGCCATACAATCTCCATAGACAAACATTGGCAGTAGAATTATTGAAGAGCTCAGTGACTTTCAACGTGGCACCGTCATATGATGCCACCTTTCCAAAAAGTCAGTTTGTCAAATTTCTGCCCTGCTAGAGCTGCTGTCAACTGTAAGTGATGTTATTGTGAAGTGGAAACGTCTAGAAGCAACAACGGCTCAGCTGTGAAGTGGTAGGCCACACAAGCTCACTGAATGGGACCGCCTAGTGCTGAAGCGTGTCGTGAGTAAAAATAGTCTGTCCTCAGTTGCAACACTCACTACCGAGTTCCAAACTGCCTCTGGAAGCAACATCAGCACAATAACTGTTCATCAGGAGTTTCATGGAATGGGTTTCCATAGCCGGGCAGCCGCACACAAACCTAAGACCACCATGCGCAATGCCAAGCATTGGATGGAGTGGTGTAAAGCTCGCTGCCATTGGACTCTGGAGCAGTGGAAACGCATTCTCTGGAGTGATGAATCACGATTCACCATCTCACAGACGAATCTGGGTTTGGCGGATACCAGGAGAACGCTACCTGCCCCAATGCATAGTGCCAACTGTAAAATTTGGTGGAAGAGGAATAATGGTCTGGGGCTGTTTATCATGGTTCGGGCTCGGCCCCTTAGTTCCAGTGAAGGGAAATCTTAACGCTACAGCATACAATGACATTCTAGACGATTCTGTGCTTCCACTTTGTGGCAACAGTTTGGGGAAGGCCCTTTCCTGTTTCAGCATGACAATGCCCCTGTGCACAAAGCGAGGTCCATACAGAAATGGTTTGTTGAGATCAGTGTGGAATAACTTGACTGGCCTGCACAGAGCCCTGACCTCATCCCCATCGAACACCTTTGGGATGAATTGCAACGCCGACTGCGAGGCAGGCCTAATCGCTCAACATCAGTGCCCTACCTCACTAATGCTCGTCGATGAATGGAAGCAAGTCCCTGCAGCAATGTTCCAACATCTAGTGGAAAGCATGGGCTGTGCCGGACTGACGACGCGCACCACAGGCTTGGTGCGGGGAGCAGGGACGGGCCGAACCGGGCTGACGAAGCGCACCACTGGCTTGGTGCGGGGAGCAGGAACGGACCAAAACGGGCTGACGACGCGCACCACTGGCTTGGTGCGGGAAGCAGGAACGGGCCGGACCGGGCTGGCGACGCGCACCACTGGCTTGGTGCGAGGGGCAGGAACAGGCCGGACCGGGCTGGCGACGCGCACCACAGGCTTGGTGCGAGGGGCAGGAACATGCCGGACCGGGCTGGCAACGCGCACCACAGGCTCAGTGCGAGGGACAGGAACAAGCCAGACCGTACTGGGGACACACACCACTGGCCCTACGCGGGGATCAGGAACGGGCCGGACCGGACTGGCAACACACCCCAGTACCTCTCGCCGTGCCTCTACATTCTCCTTCCCCCTGGTGACCAGTGACTCCCGTAACCTGGCGGCCTCCTTTGCCAACCCGCTGAACCACTCTATCCCGGCCTCCTGCTGCCCCGTCGTCCACGGCGTGAGCCCCCCCTAAAAAATGTCTGGCCGTCTCTCCTCCCCGTGGGCCAGGCCTCCATGGCTCTCGCCAGACTCTCGCTCCTCTGCTCACAAGTCCAGCCTCTCTCCTCCTCACGCTGCTTGACCCAGTCGAGGTGGTATCTTCTGTCACGATCGTCTTGAGAAGATGCGGGCCAAGGCGCAGCGTGATATGCGTACATAATATTTATTGAATGTACAACACAACGAACAAAACAACAAACGATACGAAACGTGAAGTCCTACGGTTACACAAACCAAACGGAACAAGATACCACACCAAAACAATGCCAAACGGCTACCTAAGTATGGCTCCCAATCAGAGACAACGAGCTACAGCCGTCTCTGATTGGGAACCACCCTGGCCAACATAGAAATACCAAACTAGAACACAAAACAATGAAAACTCACACCCTGGCTCAACATACAAGAGTCCCCAGAGCCAGGGCGTGACAGTACTGTACTGTACCTGGCGCATTAGCAAGTGCTGGGAGGCCACATGGCCGTCAACAAAACTAAAGAGTGCATCATGAGTAAATTCTACTGGCCCCATATTACAAATGAAAGAAAAGTACTGTAAGTCATGCGACCAGTGCCAAAAGACAACCCCCAAAGTCAATCACAGAAACCTGCTCATCCCACCATCGAAACGCCCTTTGAGCGGATAGCAATGGATCTGGTGGGTCCTATTCCCAAATCAGTAGAGGGCACAAATATATACTGTTGGTAATTGAATACGTAACACACTACCCGGAAGCCATACACCTGCGTAATATGTTCGCTAAAGGGATTGCAAAGGAGCTGTTCCAGATTTTCTCCAGAGGTGGCCTACCCTCCTCTATTTTGTCGGACCAATTTATGTCCCTCATTATAAAAGACTTGCGCACCTTTTACAATATGAGACAAATACTCACAAGTGTATATCATCCCCAGAACGATGATTTATGTGAACGCCTGATTAAAACTGTTAAGTCTATGCTGAAGAAGGCGATAGAACGAGACGGGATGAACTGAGACATGTCATTACCTCACTTGTTGTTTGCTCTTAGGAAGGTGCCCCAGTCGTCAACGGGCTTCTCTCCGTTATAGCTGTTATACGGGAGGCAGTGCAGAGGGATCCAGGACCTCGCCAAGGAGGTGTGGGAAGCCCAGCCGTGTCCCCACAGAACACCATACGAGGTAATGGTAAGAGTATCCCCTGTAAACTACAGAGTGAATCAGCCAGGTAGAAGGAAACCTGAACAGTTATACCACATCAA